GTTGTTCAGATTCCCCTGGAACTGAAGTTAAGGATGGTTCATAGCCACCATGTGGGTGTTGGGAATTGAACCCGGGTCCTCTGCAAGAGCAGTCAATGCTCTTAACCACTGAGCAATCTCTCCAGCCCCCTTCTTCCACTCTTAATGGAATCCAGATCTGCTCAGTATCACAAGGATTAGAAGTTTAAGGATGGGGGCTACAAAGCTAGCTCATTGGTTAAGAGCTCTTCCAGAGGACCTGAGTTCACACAGTGGCTAACAATTGTCTGTACCTCCAGTTCCAGGGGATCTAATGCCCTCTTCTGGCCTTCTCTGGCATTGCACACATGGTGCACTTACATGTAGACAAAACATGAATACACATAATTTTTTTTAAATTAAGAATGGTGGCACACACCTTTAATTCCAGGACTCTGGAGGGAGAGGCAGGCAGTTCTTCTCTGTGAGGTCAAGGTGACTCTGTCTCCAAAGCAAGTTCCAGGCCAGCTGGGGCTATAGGGAAACACTATCTCAAAAAGAAAAATAATTTAATTTTAAAAAAGAGTGAAGCCGGGCATGGTGGAGCACGCCTTTAATCCCAGCACTCGGGAGGCAGAGGCAGGCAGATCTCTGTGAGTTCAAGGCCAGCCTGGTCTACATAGTGAGTTGCAGGACAGCTGGGGCTATAGGGAGACCCTGTCTCAAAAGGACCAAAAAAAAAAAAAAGAAAAAAGTGAAAATGTAGTGACACAGGCCCTGGTCATCTTACAATGGACACAAGGCTCAATGAGCTCTGTTGGGCAGCAGGCTGGCATAAATGGTTGATCTTGGTTCATGAACATATGTGAAGCATCCCCCACCTCTGAAGTGACCAAGGACTTTTTTTAGGAGGTGAAGTTCAGTCCTTGTTATATAAATAGCAGCTCAAGAAGCCAAGAAGCTGGAGAGACGGCTCAGTGGTTAAGAGCATTAGTTGCTCTTGCAGAGGACCCAGGTTCGATTCCCAGCACCTACATGGTGGCTAACAACTGTCTGCAACTCCAGTTCCAGGGATCTGATGCCTTCTTCTCGCCTCCACAAATATTGCATGACATGGGTGCACTTACACATATGCAGGCAATACATTCATACACAAATTAAATTTCAAATAGTGGCTCAAATCAATGAAAATGTACACTGATTATGTGACCATAATTTGCAATTGTGATCTCAGAAGACCTGAACAAAGTAATTCACCAAAATGCAAAAATAACTGAAGCAGACATTTGCCAAGTCAAACTCCAGAGACCCTAAACTGAAAAACTGTGACCCAAAACCTCTAAGCAAGATGGAAAGGAGCTACTTTTCCTTTTATTTGAAAATTGAGTCCTTTTTTCTCTAAGACTTAGTATGCAACAGTTTTTTGTTATCTGAAAAGCTCTTACTTAGTTTAGAAGAGAAAGAGCTATCATGTGGAAATTAACATGAAGATTTGTTGAAAAAAGAAAAGGGATAATTTGCATGGTTAAATACCCCTATATTGTGTAATCGGTAAAGGGGGAAAGTTTTTTGCCTCCCTCCCTTCCTCCCTCCCTCCCTCCCCCACCTCCTTCCTTCCTTCCTTCTCTCCTTTCTCTCTTACTTTCCCTCTCCTCTTCCTTGTCTTCTCTTGAAAATAAAAATGCTATTTAGAGTATTTAATGGGAATCAGACTTGGATGTCAGCACTTTCTCCTTAGAACAGAAGCACCCTGCACTGCCCAGGACTCTCTTTTTTCACAACCACTCTGTAGAAAGAACGATTATTGCCATTCTTATATGCCAGAGAGGACACTGAGGTGGGGAGTTTAACTGATCTGACACCAGGTACTAAAAATGAAGAGCGGCAGTTTAACATTTTGGTGAGTTTAGAGTGCTCCCATACCGAGGCTCTTGCTCTGTATTTAGCACAAATAGTTAACAGCAGCTGCACATGACAGTTCTCTAAGGATCTTTACATAGACACTAAAAGATCCCCTCTTCAGACCAGTTAGCACAGAATGTAAGAGCTACAGAAGGGTCCACAGCCTGAATGTCCCCCTCTACCACTTAGCAGTCATGTGTGAGCTTGACCAGGCACTTAACCTCTTGTGCTTCAGTTTTCCCGTTTGTAAAACAAGGATAATAATGCTTTGTTCTAAGGATAAAACAAGTTGAGGCACTTAGAACAGACTGTCACATGGGAATAGCTATTTAAAGCCCTGTCATAACAACACCAGTTGACATGCCAATGTGGACAAGGGAAATTTCGCAGGGTTCTACCTCTAGATGAAGAGCTACAGGCAATCAGTGTAAGTTGAGGGAGGGAGAATTAGTTTTCTTCAGGGAGGAACTTGCTGATAGGTTATCTAATCCTAAATGGATCATCCCTAAGGAGGTGTACACACAAGCACCACTCAATGGGCTTACTGCATTATATACATAAGAATAAATATGTATATGTAGGGGCTGGAGCGATGGCTCAGTGTTTAAGAACACTGCTCTTGCAGAGGACCCAGGTTCAGTTTCTATCACCCACATGGCAGCTACAAACCATCCTTAACTCCAGTTCCAGGGGAATCCAAAGCCCTCTTCTGAACTCCACGGCATTGCACAACATGGGTGTACTCACATACATGCAGGCAACACACCCATACACATAAAATAAAAATAATAAAATATTAGAAAAAGAATATATATGTATAGGTAACAATAATAATCAAAGAACAAGAAATTGAGAGGGAGTTGGGGGTGTGTGTGAGAGGAGTTGGAGAAGGTTGAGGGAAGGTGGAAAGGATGTAAATATAGTACTCATATATAAAATTCTCAAAAAAGAAAAAGAGAAGGAAGGCCTGCTGCGGCTCTTCTGCCTCAGATCTCTGGACTAGTTTCCTAACTCAAATTAGTTTAATCATATAGCATAGTTTTCCAGACCCTCCACAGGCTGTCCCTACCCCCACCTTGCCCCTGGCCTCCAAATTTGCCATCTCAGAACTGCCTACCACCCTAAGTATACCAAACAGCACTCATATCAAAGAGGAGGAGGCTATTACAGAGTTCCACAAATGGTCACACTCAGAGAATATATGTCTGAGAGATGCCTAGCCCTAAGTGACACATCTACCATGGGACCTCTACACCTGAGGCTCAAGGAACAGAGTGGAACAGGGTGTAGAGAGAATACTAATATATCCCCCAACTCTCTCACCAGTGTGTGGCTTCCTTATACAAGAGAGTGTGATGCACCTAGAAGGCCATACCTGGCTAAGTTTTAGAGAAAAAGAGACTGCAGAGTGTGTGTCCCTGGATAGAACTCCTATATTAAACCTCACCCAACAATGGCTCAGGGACCATTTTGGAAGAGGAGGAGGGAAGATCTAAGAGCCAGGGTTGGTACATGAACATAAGGAAACAGAGGCTTTCTGGCAACTAGGAACTTGCTCATATGACCTTGAAACAATGGTGACAGCATGCACAAGAACTGTGCCTACTCAGATCAGACTAAAACCCAGCATAGAAGGAGGGAAAAAGTACAGCAGGTCCCAATCCTAGCCGAGAAACTGATTACTGCTGGGTGAGGGAGAGTAGATCTTTCTTAAGGGACTGACTCTAAGATAGGCTGACTTGCCTCCAGTGGATGAACTTGCATAGAGGGACATCTGTGTACACATGATTGACGGATAGGCTTTACCTATATGACAGAATGCATGAAATTTGGTGGAGGGTATGGGGGGTGGTATGCAAGGCAAAAAACTCAATAAAAAATATTTTTTAAAAATGCCTAAACATTTTATAGCCACTTTTGAAAGAGAGGTAGCTTTGCTCTGTAAATTGTTACTGAGTATGTTAAAGTTGTAATGAAATGCTTCTTCTAAAAAATGAAAAAAATTAAATTAAATTAAAAAAAATTTTTTTTATCGGCCTGTGCGGTGGCACAGGTCTTTGATCCCAGCACTTGGGAGACAGAAGCAGGTGGTCCTCAGTGAGAACCAGGCCAGTCCAGCTTCAAACAGAACAGCAAGTTCCAGGCCAGCTGGGGATACAGGAAGATCCTGTCGCAAAACATCAAGAGGTTTTATTCGAAAACAGTAAAACAATCTGGCCATCGGTATTTTTAGAAGTACTTCCCCAGGATACTAAAGATGGAAAATCTTTTAAGTAACGTCTCTTTTGGAATCCAGGTTCCACATATTTCGACATCCACCAAAGCGGGAAGGGGGTTTTTTCAAATTTCTTAGACCTCCTCAAAACTTGTTACCTGGACCCTAAAGGGGACCAATGGGCCTGAGAGCGGAGGCGCTCACACTCAGCCTTCTGGGAGTTGTAGTTTTCCTATGCCTCAGGAGCGCTAAGCAGCCAAGTCAAGAACTACAAAGCCCACAAGGCCGCGCGGTGCCGCCCGCCTCCGCCGGCGCTCTTCTCCGGCATGCGGGCCCGCCCCTGGCCCCAGCGGCAGAGGCGCGATGGCTGACCGTCGCAGCCCTGCTGAGGCGCCCAGCCCGAGGAGCTCTCCCCGGCAGGAGCCCCGCGTCTCGCACACGGCGGCGCAGGGTGGTGTCGGTGTGGGCGAGACCCCGCGGACGGCGGCGCTGGCGCTGCGCTTCGACAAGCCCATCAAGCAGGCCTTCTACAACACGGGCGCCGTGCTGTTCGTGTGTTTGTGCTGCGGCGCCGCGGTGCTCGTGTACTTCATCCTCGAGGCCTTCCTGCGGCCGCTACTCTGGGCCGTACTGTGCGGCACTTTCCTGCACCCGTTCAAGAGCTCGCTCACGCGCCTGGGCCGCCACTGGCTGCGGCGCCTGCACCGCGCGCACACGCCCATCGTGCTGGCCGCGCTGCTGTTGCCGCTCTGCTTCGCCGACTACAGCGTCGAGGCCCTGGGCGAGCAGGCGCTGCGCCGCCGCCGTCTGCTGCTGCTGTTGGGCGCCGGCGGCCCGCTGCTCTACGGCCTCTACTGCTTGGGCAGCTACCTGGGCGTACAGGTGCTGCTGGCGCACGCGGGCGCGCTCATCTGCCGGGGCCTCGACTACTTCAGCAGCCTGTGGGTGCGTGAGTGCGGGGGGTGGCGGGCTCCGGGCCCCAGGGATGTAGTGTGAGGCCTGGAAGCCGAGCAAGGGCGGCCAAAGGTCCTCACCTGTGCCCGCCTTCCCACGCCCGGGGAACTTGGCGCCCTTCCTTCAAGACTGGCGGATTGTCATTTGAAACAGGTCTTACCTGCTGCTGCTTTGTAAGGCCGTCCTGGGGGGCGGGGGGGCAGGGTGTACGTCCTTTGGCCGAGAAGCACTGCCCTACTTTGTAGAGGGAGGTCCCAGGGCCTGGGGCATGGGGGTTAGTTTTACTACTGATTGGGGATGGATGCTGTCCTGAGTTCTGCACAGTCTGGGCGTCAAGAACTGAAAGGCATTTTAGAGATTCTGGTCCAACTTGAACAGTTAAGAAAAGTTGACTTCTTACCAGGCCAGAGGGGAATTAGGGACTGGTCAGCTCAGATTTCTCAAGCGCTAAAACTCGAGCTCTAAAACAGGCTGATGATGCCCAGGGTTCACGTCCTTTTTACTATAGTTTGTGCGAGAGGCTGGGTGCTGAGCGCTTGGGCCTCTTCCCTCCACATTGCATCGCTGTAACTACTTTTATTGTGCAGGGACCTTAGCCCATTCCCTCTCGCCTAGATAAGCAGCAGACTGGGTGAAAGAGTGTTAGATAATGTTTGAATCACCCAAGTTCTCTTAAGGAAATCATAGAAACTTAGGATTGGAAGGAATTTCAGAGATAACCTTAGAGACCTATTTCCTGTCTCAGACTATGATGCAGGCCGGTATATCCACATGCTTACTGGGGACTGTTAACATCAAGTGGTTATTTAATGCTTAAGAATGTTAAGAATGTTGATCAATAAACTTCCACAGAGACTAAGAATGTAGCTCTGGAGTAAGACCTTGCCCAGTGTGCTTGAGGCCCAGACATGCACACACACTTAGACACCCCATACTGTTTAATTTTATTTGCTTTTGTTAGTGAAATAAAGTTCAAGATACCTTGACATTATTAAGTTGCAAAACTGTTCCCTTTACCAGTTAAGCAGGGTTTCAACCTGCCAGAAGTTATTTATTGGTCGAGTGATAAATTGATTCCGGGACTATCATTAAGTTCAAGTTTTAATTTGATCGAGCATAGTAATGTTAGGTAGTAAGCTTTCTGAGAGATTTTTAAGAAGGGTGGGGTGCAAGACCTGTCTTGGGGTACATAGTTGTTTATGAGCATATTGCCCATTTTCATCCTGGGGGTTGAACTCAGGACTTCACCCATGCTACTGAGTTGGACCCTTAGCCTCATAAATTAGAATATCCTAATGGAATTGATAAACACAAAGATAACTGTTCATTTTCACCAATTGTGGGCCACAGGTTCAAAGAATGTGACTGCCCTGTCACACAGCTTATGGACAAATTTGTGATACAATTGTTGTTGTTGTTGTTAAGCTGTGCTGGGGACGAAACCCAAGGCTTAGTGCAATCTAGTCAAGGGCTCAAATACTGAGCTATACCTCCAGGTCCATTGTTCACTTTTGAGAAGTTAAAGTCAGTGCCCTTCTGCTGTTACACAATTCAGTTAAATGGATCAGATACCACATCTAAAAGTCAGACTGCTTTGTTCCTATAAGAAATATGACTTGGTTCCTGTCCTCAGGAAATTTCAGACTTGTCAGACACATTTACAGATTATGCTAGCATTTCAACTGTTGCTACTACATAGCTATCATATCCATCAAATTCTAGAAAATGAGAACTGAAAGCCCACTTTATAGGGATAGCACTTATTTATCTTTATTTATTTTTATATTATGTGTACGAGCATTTTGCCCACCTACATGTTAAGTGCACCATGTGCAAGCAGTGCCTACAGAGGCCAGAAAAGGGTGTAGGATTCCCAGGAACTGGAGTTCTGGACAGTTGTTAGCCTCTATATGGGTGCTGGGAACTGAACCTGGTTCCTTTGCAAGAGCAGCCAGGGCCCTAACTGCTACTGTAGTAAGAATTGAGTACGAGGTAGATTGGCATGGTTAGGAGAAAGTAAGGCATTTCTCCTTGTCCCTCAGAATCTTAACGGACCAACTTGAGGAAGTGAGCATGTATCCACAGCTCAGTGTATATACCTTTGAATATTCTTTTACTGATGATAAACCCTCATGTTTGTATTTCACGTGTTTGGGCTGTGGGTAATGAGTGGAAGGCAAGAGCCAAGATTGATTTGATTTGGGGGCTAGAGGGAGGAAAGTCAGACCAGTTGCACATATATTTTCTGGTGGTGCTGAGAGTTGAACTAGGGTTTGTATATGCTAAGCATGTTGTCTATCGCTGACCCACATCCACAGCCCTCCAAACAATGTTTATGTAACTGCCCCTAACTCATCTGTTTGCCCACAATGATGGGAGAAAGGGAAATGAGGAGGGGGTTAAAAAACAGAACAAACCCGTTATAAAAGAAACTTATGAATGAACTAGAAGTGAGTAGGGGGTGGTAAGAGGACCAAGTTGATCCCAGTTTGAGAAAAACTAGAAAATTGAGTTTTTTGGAAGCACACTTAGGGGTGGAAAGTGATGTGAAGGGAGGTGTGTTAGCCCTCTCCTGAAAGCTCTGATAAGGGCTTACGTGTGGCTGGGCAAGAGCCCACAGGATCTTTTCTATCTCTTGGACCACAGCACTTGGTCTTGAGCCCAAGCAGGACTGCCTGTTACAGAACAGCACTCTGTGCTTTTAGACAGCTTGTAAATGTGAGTTTGTATGAGAGAAGTAGAGAGAAAAGTACATGCAAGCATGTGAGCACATACTGCATATTCAAGATCCAACTTTTGTACATGTACCATGTGCAAGGTACTGAACTAGGTTCTAACAGGATGCAGTTACATTGTTACAACAGTTCTGTCCAGTGGGAGGAAGGGATTTCGTATCTGAAAAAGCTAATTAGAGTGATAGGTTTATACTCTTAATTGTCTTCCCTAGATCTGCCAGCAGGTGAAGTTCTGCTGTCATCCAAACTCTGTGGTACTACCCTTCAGTAAGGGTTGAGAAAGTTTTCTCATAACATGTTTAAAATTTTAGTTTAATTAAAACATATTTTGATTTTTTAAATTATCTGTGCATGAGTGTTTTGCCTACATGTATACAAGTGTACCTGTGCATGCAATGCCTGAGGATCCTTAAGTGGATATCAGATCCCCTGGAACTGGAGTTCAGGACGGTTGTTGGCTGCCATGTGGGTGTTGGGAACCAAACCTAGGTCCTATGCAAGAGCAGCCAGTGCTTTTAACCACTGAGCCATCTCTTCAGCCCCAGTTTAATTTTTTTTTTTTTTTTTTAAAGACTGGGTCTCCCTATAGCCCCAGCAGGCCTGGAACTTGCTATCTAGACCAGGCTGGCCTAGAACTCATAGAGATCCACCTGCCTCTGACTCCTGAGTGCTGGGATTAAAGGCATGTGCCACCCCACCTGGCTGCTCCAAGTTTAATTTTTAAAAATAAATTGATTTCAGTTAAAAGACAAAAACTAAAATACCAGCACTGGACTAATCACAGCTGTTCCCCTGGATTCTAGTTACCTAGAAACCTGCCATCTCTTCCACCATGTATCCTTCTATCTGTGTGGTATTTTTTTCGGGTCCTGCCCAGTTTTCCTTTGCATCAGGACTTCTGCTTTCCTTTGTCACCAGTTTATCCTGTTTCTTCCTCTTCATCTCACTTTGGACTACTTACACTCTTAATCTGTGTCCCATTTCCCTCATCTTCTGGCATGGTGGCACATGCCTGTAGTCCCAGCACTTGAGAGGCAGAGACAGGTGGATCTCTGTGAGTTCAAGGCCAGCCTGGTCTACCTAGTTCCAGGCCAGCTTGGGCTACAGGGAGACCCTGTTTCAAAAAGACCAAAAAAAAAAAAAAAAAAAAAATTATCTGTTGCACCATGCTCAACGTGACTCAGCCCTTGACCTCTCCCCTGGTTGTGGAGTTGTGCAAGATGAATCTAAAAACCTGATGGCATCCTCTGCCTCATCTTTTCTCTTTGCTGGGAATGTTAGACTCTGCTCTTCCCCTTTGTTCAGACTTGTTAGAAAAAAATGAAGTCCATTTATGATTTTTGCAGTGGATACAGACTTGTTTTCTCCTCGGTCTGTCTCCATCCCACTATTTCTATCTTTATAAAGAACTGTAAGTTGGAAACAGTCAGGACTGAAGGATCAGAAGACCTGCAGTTTTGTTTTGTTTTGTTATTTTATTTTTTATTATTTTTATTTTATGTGTATGAGTGTATTGCCTGCATGTATGTGAGCACAACCATGTTGTGCAGTGCTGTGGAGATCAGAAGAGGGTGTCGGATTCCCCTGGAATTAGAGTTAAGGACAGTTTGTAGCTGCCATGTGGGTGCTGGGAATGAACCCGGGTCCTCTGCAAGAGCAGTCAGTGCTTTTAACCACTGAGCCATCTCTCCAGCCCCTTTCTTTTTTTCTTTTCTTTTTTTTTTTAAATGTATTTTTTATGGTCTGCAGTTTTTTAAAAAAATATTTTTATTTTTTGTGTATGCCTGTATTGCCTGCCTTGTATGTAAGTGCACCTGTGTCATGTGATGCCTGCGGCAGACAGAAGAGGCCGTAGGATCCCCCTGGAACTGGAGTCTCAAGACAGTTTGTTAGCTGCCATGTGGGTGCTGGGATTCGAACCCGGGTCTTCTGCAAAAATAGTGTTCTTAACCGCTGAGCCATCTCTTCAGCCCAAGACCTGCAGTTTTAAAGCCTGCTCTATCAGTGACTTGCTTTGTGGCCTTACTCTGGGCCACTCAACCCTGGTTTTACAATGAGCAGTTGGCTTGTATGGTATCTAAGTCTCCTTCACATTCTTGGTTCAAGATCATAGGAGGCCCTTAGGAAGAGTGCACTGCGCCAGCCTTGTGGGTCTACTCCATTCTACTTCTAAACCTTTCTTAGGTTTGTTGCTGCTTACCTGGCAACAGGGAACAGAAGTTATTTCACAGTTAAAGATTTGGTTGCAAAAATTCCTGAGTCTTAAGGGCCATATGATAGAACAGTTTGCAAAGTAGAAGTAAATTATCTTAAAGGACAGTAAAGTACTTGGAGCAGTTGCTGATCCACCAGTGATCAGCCTGTGATTATTCAGAGGAAGTCTGTTTTATTCTCTCTGAAAAAGACTTAGAAAAGGGGACTGGGGGGATGGTTCAGTGAGTAAAGTGCTTGAAGACCTGAGTTCAGGTTCCCTGGATCCATATAAAATCCAGGCCTGGAGGTGTGTAGGGAGGGATGGAGACAGATGGATTCCTAGGGCTTGCTGGCCAGCCTGTTTAGCCAAATGGTGAGCTCCAGGTTCAGTGACCATGTTTCAAAAAAAAAGAAAAAAATAAAGTGGGAGCTGGAGAGTTGGCTTAGCGGTTAAGAACAGTTCCAGGGTATCCAGTGCCCTCTTCTGACCTCTGCTGGCATTGCATGACATGGGTATACCTACACATACATGCAAGCAATACACTCATACACATAAAATAAAAAAAAAAACAAAATATATATTTTGGTCTTTTTGAGACAGTCTCCCTGTAGCCCCAGCTATCCTGGAACTCATTATGTAGAACAGGCTGGCCTTAAACTCACAGAAATCCGCCTGCCTCTGCCTCCCAAGTGCTGGGAATAAAGGTGTGTGCCACCACACCCAACAAAATAATTTTTTAAGTGGAGAAACAAGGGGCTGGAGAGATGGCTCAGTGGTTAAGAGCACTAGCTGTTCTTGCAGAAGACCCAGGTTCAGATCCCAAATATGGTGGCTAACAACCATCCATAACTCCAGTTCATGGGATCTGATGTACTTTTCTGTCCTTCGTGGGCACTGCATGACACTCATAAAATAAAAATAAATTTAAAAAATGTAAAAAGAGGAGAAACAATTGAAAAAGGCATCCCAAGGTCAATCTCTGGCCTCCACATGGGCAGGCATGCTTGCATACACACTGCACCTGCCTTTTACCCACTGAGTGGTTGGTATAAAAGTGGCTAATTATGTTACATGAAGGAAAATGTGCTTGCTTTACTTGGAGTGCTAAATAAATGTTTCCAAATTTTATGCAGTCTTATAAAATGTCTAGCACTTTGATGCTATGAAATGACTGGGTTGTCTATTTTGAAAAGGACACAGCATGTCTAAGAAGATAAGCTTGGGTAAGTATGCCCTCTGATCCAGCTATGGAGAAAATCAGCATACAGATAGGTTTGGTCAAAGGTTAAAGGCATGTGAAGATGATTTCTGGGTTAGGGAATAAAGCATTTTTGCCAGGCATGGTGACTCTGTAATACTAGTACTTGGGAGGCTGAGGCAGAAGGATTGCTAATTTAAGGTTAGCATGGGCTGCAGAGTGAGATCCAGTATCAAACAAAACACTCTTAAGGGAGTCTGAGACTAGAAATTGTGTTTGAGGGTTGGAGCTAGAGCTCAGTGACAGCACTTGTTTGCCATGTAGTGAGAGTTCCTGGCCAGCTGGGACTGCAGGGATACCCTGTGTCAAAAAGACAAAACAAACAAACAAAACCCCCCTAACTTTTTAGGGCTTGGGAGATGGCTCAGTTGGCAAAGTGCCTGCCACACGCTCATGATGACTAGAGTTGGGTCCCCGCAACCTTGTAAAAAGAAAGTGCAGTGGGAGTGGCAGCACAGCTCTTACACCAGCAGAGACAGGCGCACCCCTGAAGCCCAGCTCCAGCCAGCCCAGGCTATGAGCTCCAGGTTCACTAAGAGACCTTGTTTTAGAGGAAATCCCTAATGTCTCTTCACAGAAATTATCCATTTTAATAATTGTATGAAATTATTGTACAAAATAATTTTGTTTAAATTGTATAAAATCATCTCCCAGTTGTCAGCCTTTTAGGTCATCAATTTCCACAGTTCTTCCTCACATTCTGATGAGTTTATACTGACAATATCTGTCATTATTTTGTAAAGATTAATTCCACATCTAAATTCTCAAGTCTGAAGCCATACACGTTTCTAAAACTGGAGGATTCTTTTTATTGACAGATGTAACCAAAATAGCACAGATGGTAGGTAGCTTTACGTGGCGTCTTTCCAGTCTTTTTGGTGGTCCTTGTTGTTTTTCCCCCTCCGTGCTCTGAATTGTAGGAAGTCCTGTTTTCTTTTAATGTACTTTCACCCTCAAGGTTCTTGCCATACTTGAATTTTGCATCCACGGACTCATTTTCGAGTGCTCAAATTTGTTCTTTGTAAGTGTTCCTTTGAAAAAAGAGTTAATGTGTGTGTAAGGGACCTTGACATCTTAACAAATGCTTCTTGGTGCTAGTAATAGCATTTAGGGTACAGGGAATAGAGGGGGCTCTGGCTGATTTCTGTTTTCAAGTTTTGCTCTTTCTTCCTCTAGTAATTTTTTTCGGGAATGCTTTTTAAGTTTGGGCATATAACTTTCTTAAGTTTTTAACATTTGTCACCTAGGTTATTGGCAGGGTGACACTTTAGCTAGTTCCCCCTTTCTAGCTTTAAAAAAGATTTTTCTTGGGGCTGGAGAGATGGCTCAGTGGTTAAGAGCACTGCCTGCTCTTGCAGAGGACCTGGGTTCAATTCTCAGTACCCACATGGTGGCTAACAATCATCCATAATCCCAGCTCCAGGGGAATCTGACGCCATCTTCTGACCTCTGTGGACATTGTACAACATGGGTGCACTTACATACATGCAGGCAATACACATACACATAAAATTAAAAAATGAATAAAATATTTAAAAAAGATTCTTAGCAGTAACATTTATAGGCTAAAATAGGATCCTTTTAATCTGATTCTTTTTAACCCCCTTCCTTTTTCTAGACATTAATCAACAGAGAAAACGGGGATTTTTATAAGATTAGGCTTTGGTTTAAATCCATTGCTATATAGTAATTAAGTATTAAACGGGTTTTGAACTTCAGAATGCATTAAAACATTGTACTTGAGGACATATTCGAGCATCATTGTACGGGTTTCAGATGTCTGCTTATCTAACAGGGAAGGAAAACCAGGCATGCTAGCTTCCTCCAACCTTTATTCTCTCCCTTCAGCGTCCAGAGCACCTACACCATAAGCTGCTTGCCAATGCCTAAAACTATGTTATTGCTCTTTATTTTGTAACTGTGTCTGTGTTTCTTTTATTTAAGATCTGGACGTTGGTAGTTGGCTATGTGTTGACTGTTTCCTTCAAGTGGAATTCAAGCACTGAACGATACTTGAGAGCAATTTCAATTCCTGTGTGGATGATACTGCTTTTTCACTTAGGTAGGTCCTTCTTTAAAAACAAAACAGTTTAAAGTCAGCAGAGGCTGACTGAAAGTGAGTTCTTCGTAGCGTTGTATGTTGCATTTAAAATTCTTTAGCATAATCTTTAGAAAATATTATGCTTTCATATTGTACTCATCTTGAGCAAAAATGCTGTGCTTTGCCAGGTGTCCAGGCCAGTCAGGGCTACAGAGTCAGATCCTAAGAAAGTAAAAAGAAAATGCTGTATTTTAAAATGTTGATCTATTAATTGTATTACATATTTTTATTTAGCAAAGTCCTTTAAGAGTAAGCATATCTGAGTTGGGCATTGTGGTGCATGCCTTTAGTCCCAGCACTCTGCCTTTAGTCCCAGCACTCCAGAGGCAGAGGCAGGCAGATCTCTGTGTGTTCAAAGCCAGCCTGGTCTATGTAGTGAATTCTGGGTCAGCTGGGGTTACAGGGAGACCCTGTCTCAAAAAGACCAAAAAAAAAAAAAAAAGGTAAGCATATCTGGGTCTAGAGAGATGTCTCCGCTCACAACCATTAGTAACTCCTGTTCCAGCGGCTCAAGGATGATTTTAATGCTGCTCTGGCCTGTCCCTAGTTAAAGGGACTAGGGAAGGTGTTCACTCTAGATAAGAGGAAGGGCCTGGTGTGGGAATGGGGAGGAGGTAGGACAGTGAAGAGCTTATGAAATAGGAAAACCCATTTCAGGAATTGAAGGGCTCTCCATCCTGTGAAAGAGTAACTTAAGCAGGTCTGTATCTGTGCCAGGAAGAGATGTCAGGGTTGGGGGGAAGTCAGAGACTGGCTTTTCAGCTGAGAGGTGATTGATGTCAGAGCTGCTCAGTCATGAGTTTCCTGTTACCATTCACTGTTAGCTGGGTGACTGCTCAGATGTTGAGTGACTTTTCAGCATGCTGCGGAAGGTTGGCCAAAATGCTTTATTTCTAACTCCAAGTTGATGCATGTATTAAGTTCTTATTTAAAAACAAAATTTAGCAACTCAGTCTGAAATATTTTTAGAGCTCCTTGATTCTTTAAAAAAATTTTTTTTTTGCTTTATTTTTTTTTTTATTTTTTTTTGGTCTTTTTTGAGACAGGGTCTCCCTGTAGCCCCAGCTGTCCTGGAACTCACTGTGTAGACCAGCTTGGCCTTGAACTCACAGAGATCCGCCTGCCTTTACCTCCTGAGTGCTGGGGTTAAAGGCGTGCGCCACCACGCCCGGCCTGCTTTATTTTTTTTTATGTGTGTGTATTGTGTGCATGTATGAGAGTGCACTCATGTTGTGTAGTACCTGAGTAGGACAGATGAGGGTGTCGGATCCCCTGGAACTGGAGTTATGTACAGTTGTTTGTTATCCGCCGTGTGGGTGCTAGGATTCGAACCTGGGTCTTCCGCAAGAACAGTCAGTGCTCTTAACTACTGAGCCATCTCTCCAGCCCCAGAGCTACTTGTTTTTATAAATAAATCCTCCCTCCCAAAAAAACCAAATCGAAAGCCTGATTAATTGAAAATGTCACTGTTTAGAGCTTGATGTTGAAAGTGTGTTCTCCATGCTAGTTGAGTTGGAGTGCTAGGGGTTTTTTTATCTGTAAGATCTTGTGATGATGAGACTTTGCTGAAGGCAGTGGAGGGACTCTCTCATGACCTCAGGGAAAGACAAGTGCTTAGGGGTAGGAGCCTGTCCTTCCAGACTTGTTAACATCTTTGCCCTGCTCCTTCATGAATGCACATGGAAGCTTTTCTTTTGGGTTATTGGGTCTTTGCTTGAGAGAGGGAGTTCAAACCCATGATGTTTTCAGAAAATCAGACCAGCTCATGGCTTCAGGATCTATTCCTGATTCTGGTCACCTGGAGATCAAATGCATAAGTTGAATTTAAGATGATCTTAAATGTGGGGTGTGCATATATTTTGATCAAGTCCATCTCTCTTCCCCTCTCTTGAAATAATTTCTTAATTAGCATGTATACCAGATTGTTCTGTTCACTGAAAGTATGCTTAATGATTTTCAGCATCGCTTGCTGGCTCCTGGAGAATTCCAGTATTCCTGGTTATTGTTTTCCTGATGTCTGTGGGCACCCTCTATGAGAAACAGAATGGGAAAGAGTCTACTGGTAAGACATAGAGCCTTTTATGAATCTATTTAAAAACCTGTAGTGGTTTCTAAACAGAAAATAACGTGATCTAAAATGTTTTAGATTATTTTTGACCATGCTTTTTTGGTATCTTTTTATTGAGGTATAGTTTAGAATGAATCATCAACTATTATAAAATGCTATTTAGTATAGTTCAGCATTGGGTAGCTGTCACTTCTGTCAGTTCTACAATATTTACCACTCCAAAGAGAAAACCTGTGCACCCATAAGTACTTTGGTTCCTTTATTGCTGAATAATATTCCACATGTACGTATACCACATTTTGTTTATCTGTTCATCCTTTGACAGATACTGGGAGATTTCCACCTTTTGGGTATTGTGACTAGTGCTGCTTTGACCATTCATGCGGAAGAAACTATTTACTTTCTATTTTTTTAAAATTAAAAAAAAAATTTTTTTTTTTTTTTTTGAGATACGGTCTCCCTGTAGGCCCAGATGGCCTGGAACTCGATATATAGACCAGGCTGGCCTTGAACTCACAGAGATCCACCTGCCCCTGCCTCTGCCTCTGCCTCTGGAGTGCTGGGATTAAAGGCATGCACTACCATGGCAGGCTAGAAGAAACTATTTACTTTTTAGTAAAAAAAACTAGTTTTTTTCTGGTTGAGTTTTTTTTTTTTTTTTTTTTTTTTGGACAGGCTTTCATTATGTAGCAGTGGCTGGATTGGAACTCACTATGTAGACCAGATTGGTTTTTAACTCACAGTGATTTGCCTGCCTCTACTTCCCAAGTGCTGGAATTAAAGGAGTTCATCATCCACACATAGGCATTTAAAATTCTTTAAGAAAATGTTTGTATTTAGTTGATACGTTAAAACTTAAATATTATGTATACTAACCAGGCGCATATAATGTTCCAATATGTGTCCATTTCAGTTCTGGGTATTTACCTTGGAGTGGGATTACTGGGTCATGGATTCAAAGTTTAACTGTTTCAGGAGCTAACCAGTCTATTCTCCACAGCAGCTGCAACAATTTACATTCTTACTCTGCATGGGAATTCCAGCTTCTCCACATTCTTGGTAACACTTCCTGTTTGCCACTTTTGATAATCACCAATCTAGCAGGTGGGAAGTGGCATCTTACTGAGGTTTTAATTTGAATTTTTCTAGTGACTGATGGCATTGAACATATTTTCATGCATCTGTTGGCCATTATCTTTTTGGGGAAATGTTTGTTAACACTTTTTCCTTTTAAAAATGTGGCTGTTTGTCTTTTGTTCTTGAGTTTTAGGACTGCTTTTGACCTCTTCGATACTGACCAGATCCTTCTATTTTTTTCTTTTGTTGGGCTGTTGTCATAGCTAGGAAACTAGTGAGACATCTGAGATGAATATTTACTCCTGTTTTCCTCTCAGAATTTATATATATATATAAAATACATATTTTTTGGGGGGGTCTTTTTGGTCTCCCTGTAGCCCCAGCTGGCCTGAAACTCACTAAGTAGACCAGGCTGGACTCACAGAGATCCACATGCCTCTCCCTCCCGAGTGCTGGGATTAAAGGCGTGAGCCACCACACAGCTAGAATTTTTATTTTTGTCACTTATATTTAACTCATTGATTTGTTTTCAGTTACTTTTCATGTTGGTATAGGGGAAAGGTCCATCCTCTCTCTTGCATGTTGGATATCTAGTGTCTCCCAGCACCATTTGTTGGTGGTTTTGGTACTCTTGTCAAAAACAATTGAGCATAAGTGTGTGGGTTTCTTTTATATTGTCTCTGCTAGTCCCTTGACTTAGGTGTCTATGGTTATAGTGTGGTCAGCTCTGACACTTTGGAGAGTTCTCTGGCTTTGTTCTTTCAGGTGGTTTTGCTGATTTGTGTCCCTGTGCTGACTGTCAGGTGCATTTTACCATAAAGTCTTTGTCTATTTCCACAAAATTGTCTGTTGGGATATTAATAGAGATTGTAGATAATTTTGGGGAGTGTTTTACACATATGTAACGATATTTTACATATAGTGCAACAATAATAAACCTTCCAATTCATGAATGTGGACTACATTTCCAAATATTTACTCTAATTTCTTTTAGTAATTTGGTGTAGTTTTCACTGTGTAAGTGTTGTATTTTGGTTTAATTTATTCCTTAGCTGTTACAAATGAAAATTTTCTGAGTTCCTTTTTGTGTGGTTCATTCCTAGTATGTAGTTAGAAATATTTTTATTTTATTTCTTTCTTTTGGTCTTTTTGAGACAGGGTCTCCCTGTAGCCCCAGCTGACCTGAAACTCATTATGTAAACCAGGCTGGCCTTGAACTCACAGAGATCCACCTGCCTCTGCCTCCTGAGTGCTGGGATTAAAGGTGTGCATTACCATGCCTGGCATATAGTTAGAAATAACTGATTTTGTGTGCGTGTGTACTGATGTTAAATCCTTCGACCTTATGGAATTTGTTCTTAGCATCAGTGTTTTAGTGGATTCTTTATGATTTGGTTTCTTTTTTTGTTGTTGTTGTTTTTTTGATCTTTTTGAGACAGGGTCTCCCTGTAGCCCCAGCTGTCCTGGAACTCATTATGTAGACCAGGCTGGCGTTGAACTCACAGAGATCTGCCTGCCTCTGCCTCCCGAGTGCTGGGATTAAAGGTGTGCGCCACCACGCCTGGCCCATGATTTGGTTTCTTTTAAAAATATTTTTATTTTTGTGTGTGTCTGTATACACCACTTGTGTGGGTGCCTGTGGAGTTCAGAAAAGGCCATTGGATGTCCTGGAGCTGGAGTTAGAGGCTGTTATGAGCTACCTGATGTGGGTGTTAGATACCAAACTTGGGTCCTTTGCAAGAACAGTGCATGCTCTTAACCCCTGAGCTGTCTCTTCAGGTCCCTGGCTTCAGGTGTGTAAAAGCACAGTGAACATTCTTTTTTGTAATACGTGGGTTAGGTTTAATGTATGCCATGATTGTTTATGCCAGTGAATAAACTGCTACAGCAGTTGTCTTTACATCTTCATTTTCTCTAATCACAGAGGTGTTTGTAATGCCCTCCTCTGTACAGCTAGCTATCTTAGAAAAGATGCCTGTATTTGTCTGCATGTATATAAGTGCACTTGTGTTGTGCAGTGCCTACAGAGCTCAGAAGAGGGCATCAGATCCCCTGAAACTGGAGTTTTGGACAATTGTTAGCTGCCATGTGGGTGTTTTGATTCGAACCAATGTCTTCTGCAAGAACAGCCAGTGCTCTTAACCAATGACTCATCTCTCCAGCCCCAAGAAAAGATTTTTAAGATTCTTTTTATTATATTTGATAAATGAGTATGTTATACAATTTTAAAGATTTCTCCTCCCTCCCTCTCTCCCTCCCTTCCGGGTTTCATTATGTACACCAGGCTGGCCTCAAACCCCTAGAGATCTTTCTGCTTCCCCAGTGTTGGCATTAGAGGTGTGCCACTATGCCTGCCTGTAAGACTTCATCATACCTTTAAATGTATGATTAAATTTCTTTTGTTTAAAGTTTAAAAATAACTAACTGAAGCAAAAATCCTTAATTGCATATCTGACAGAAAATAGGGGAGATTTTATTTTCCATTTTGCTGTTTCAGAGTTTTCCTTTTGAGCTTGTCTTCCTGCTCCTAACCTCTGAGACTCTAGTTATGCGTTAGAACACACTAGAAGCAATACTGACTTGTGGTCGTTTCTATTTGCTCTGCTTCCTTTTACTTTCTTGTTCTTCCCCTATCTGTGAGTGATTCACACAGCTCTGCCTACCCTCCCCGCCATGCAGGTTTGGCTTTCCCTTTTGACTACTGTGGTCTAGGGCTAAGTTCAGTCCAGCCATGTGTATCCATCAATTTCCTGTCCATGGATTTAACCAACTGAAGATTGAAAATATTTTGGGAACAATGACATCTGCATTCAACACACAAAACCTTTTTCTTGTCATTTTCTCCTATATGACACAGTCTCACAACTATTTATGTAGCATTTACATTTTGTAGGTACTCTATGTAACTAGGGAAGTTTACAGTCTTTGTGAAGATGGGCATAGGTTATGTGCAAATTTGGGTTTTGAACACCTACAGATTGTGGTGTATACAGGTGTCCTACAGCTGGTCCCTTGCTATATTGAGGGCTGCCTGAATTTTATACAGGGGTGTGAATAGTGCATGTCTCAGCCAAGGCTTTCAAGCTGCCCTGCCCTGTGTGCATTCTAGTTATCTGGAAATGAGAGCCTAGTGTACTGCGAGAACAAGAATTGAAGACCATGTTTTGAGTGTGGGGGCAGAAGACCAAGGTCAGTTCTTATTATCAGCCATAAACCCAGATTTGTGGTATGTTGGCATGCCAGCCAGATGCTTCTGCTTGGGTTCTTGACTACTGAAAGGAAGGATCATAGGGACACAGAATGAATACTGAGAACAGATTTGGAAATTGATTTTCTTGGTTTTGTGTTCTCATTCTTGCTTTAGAATAGACTGTTTATTGCTGCTCTTAGAAGCTTTTCTGGACCTCTAGGCTAATTGAACCTTATCTTAAAATAAAATTTTTTAAATGCTTTTCTAAAATTCTGTATTTTTTTTCCTTGTGTCCTTAATACCTTGTACTGAAGTCTAGCCTGTGCTAGGACAGCCCTTCCCTTGTGTTTGTTGACAGTTTCCTCCTGTAGATGTCACTATGCTGTAGTTGGTAAGAATCCTGCTGTGACTACAGGGTGTGTGTTGATTCCTTGGTGCATGTTCAGGTCACTGCTCTGCTTCATCTGAGCTGTTTTAGGTACTTTTATGAGCTACACAGCTTATTGGGACTCACAGGATTAATCTTTTGGATTTCATTAGAATTTAAAGCATAAGTTTGCTTGGCTCTTGGACTTAGACTGAATTAGTGGTTTGCTCAGAATTTGGGCCTTCTCTTGGGTGGGCCTAAGGAGCTGTTTCCTGGGAGTCCAAATCATGTAGGGAAAAAAATGTTCATATGTCACCCATTGGCTAAGAACTCTGAGGTACTTCTAAATGTAATGACTTT